CACCCTACGGTCCCTTTGTGACACTGTCTCATGTCCCCTTGAATTCCTACCCAAGTCCCCATTGAACTTCAGCTGTCGCTCACCCCTGGGACAGGGGCAGAGAGCCCAGCACCTTTTTTTCGGGTGACATCAGCCAGTGTGTCACTATCAAACCTTGGTGCCCAGGCTCGGTGCCCAGGCACGGTGCTTACGTACTGGGGTGCTATGTCCTCCACCCCACCACCAGCAACCCGAGGGCAGACTGCATCCGCTCAGAGTGGATGCTAAAGAAATGCTGATTAAATGAATAGCTGAACCCCCGTCCTTACCCCTGTGGCTCCCACACTGGCTGGCTCCTTGGGCTCTGGGGGCCTCTCTAGGACAAAGGAAGGCTTAAGCACCTTGACCTTGTCTGCCTGCGCTCTGCCCCTCATACCTGGGAAGGGGTTTGGCTTGCTCTAAAGACACCGCCCCCCTGGGGCTCTGGGACGACCTCAGGTATACAGTCATTCACCAGGGCTGTGGGTAGCTCCAGAAATCCCAACTTCTACTCCGAGGCTCTGAGGCATCCTGGGTCTGGTGGGCAAGTCCACCAGGTTCCCTCAGTAGCTCTCTCTGGCCTCAGGGTCTCAAGAGATCCTGCACAGCCCTGGAAACCTGGAGAGGCCTTGGCTGAAATCTAGCAGCTTCCAGTGGTGGAAGGATCTTTGAGGATCTGTGACCACCAAGGAGGCCCCTTGCTGGTGGCACACCCCAGAGGAGACATGTCACTGTCTGAAGGACCTGGCTAGCCAGAGCGTCACCTGCTCACCCCTCGGCACCTCACCCCTTCCCCCCACTGCATCACGGCCAGCACCGGCTCCCTAGCCACTGCTCTGGCCCTTGGCAGTGCCCACAGGCACCGCCTCCTTAGCCACTTCTCTGGCCCTTGGCAGTGCCCACAGGCAGGTCAGGGGCTCCCTGACAGGTTTCTAACTGGCATTGAGGTCAAAGGGCAGAGAGACACCAGTGTCCCCTCAGAGGCCCTGACCTCTCAGGCACTGCCCACGACGGTCTCCCCAGGTTTCAACAGTTCTGAGCTGGGCTCTGGGGGAGGCTGAGTTGCCCACTGTGGGGCTCCTGGGAGAAGTGCCCTGCACCTGTCCAGGCTGGAAGGAATCCCAGCCCCAGAGTTGGCCCAGCCCCTGGAGGACAGCCAGAGAAAGGACAGTTTCAGGGGATGGATCAGTCAGCAGTCCCTACACCTGAAGTTTCAGGGCCTTCTCCCTTGTTTTATCGAGGATCCCTGCTGCCAGCCAAGCGACCCCGGGAGAGGGTGTTGGGGGGAAGTTCCAGTCCCCAGCGCGCTCGGGCAGTTGGGAAAGGAAGGGGGAGCATCGGGAGTGTCCGCACCCGCCCCGCCCTGCCAGGGACTCCGGAGTCCCTGAAGCTTGGGGCGTCCCTCCCAGCTCTGACCTTGTGTCGGAATTCTCGAGCCACTTTCCGGTCCATGGCTCGGCCAGGTCGAGCCGCGTCGCAGCGCGACCCGTTCCTTCTTCGAGTGCCCGGTTGCAGGAAGTTGGCAGCAGCAGCGACAGCGACCGCCGAGCCTCCCGGGGCCCTGGGGGCGGGGCCTGGGCGGGGCCTCGGCTTGGCCGGAGGTGGGACAGAGCCGCTGGGAGGCGGGACACACCTGTCCAGAATCTCGTCGCCTCCCTCTGGAAGCCCCAGGATCCGATGAGCCTGAGTGTGCGTGTGTACTAGCGGCGGCAGCAGTTGGGCCCGAGGCTGGCGTTCCTCTTGGGGTGGTCCTCAAACGTTTGCACAGTTAAGAAAGACGACCACGGACACATGCGGGGAGGGAGGTTTAGGACTATGTCGTGGGGATCTGAATACAGAGACTCGGGCTGTGGGAGAGAGTGGGTGATCCGGTCCATTCCTTCTGCCCTCCCACCTCCCCATCAGGGTACATTCCATAATCCTTGCCCCAAGAATTCCTTGGAAATGGGTTGGGTACGGAACCACTGTGTGGAGGTGCCCTGTTAATTGACTTCCCCTCCTGCCTCCCTCCTGACCTCTACCTAACCCTTCCATCCCCCACAAACAAACAAACAAACAAACAATGCAGCACACTCACACATTCACCGAAGCATGGAAGAGCCTGGCGGTGGCGTTCTGATTTATGACTGACCTTTACCCAGGGCCCTACTTCTTGATTCATTTGATCCAATTCCAGCCGGTTTGGTTAGCCCCTAGATCTAGCTGGGTGCAAAGACCATGAGGAACCAGGCCTGGGAGGCCAGACTTAGAGGAGGGAGGAGTCCAGGAGAGAGTGATTATACAAAAGTGAATGGGGTTGGTGGACGATGGAACCTGAGCCTGACCTTAACCCAGCAGGGTCACCTGACTTCTTTGCACGAGGTCAGGGATGGGTGCAAGGAAATGGACAGCAGCCCCAGCCCTCCTCGGGGAATCACAACTGTAAGCTCAGGGGCTCCTCAAGTCTCCCTCTCTGCCTCCCCCCGCCTCCACAGCTGCAGCTCTGCAAGCGGACTATTTTATTTATTGCCGAGCTTAAGACATAAGTCCCCTTTGGGGACGAACTTTAAAATATTATGCATGTCATACCTAAGTCTTAAGTAGTTAAGTCAGAGACAAAAGGG